TTGGTGTATAACCTGTGTTCCTAAACTGTGCCTGGCTCTGACAGTTCCCTGCATGGGACCCTAAAGTTGTCAGGACCCCATCTGCTCTTCCCACTGATCAGCTGTTGCCTTCCAAAGTCACTGCTCTTTTCTCATGGCTACATCCAAGCAGTGTCAGTAGTCATCTATGAGGGCTGGCTGGGAAGCACTTTCAGCTCCTTGCAAGTGCAGTCATCTCTTGATTTCAGCAGTAGGGAAGCACTCTGTCCCTGCAATCTATGAGTATATGTAAAAAGTGTGTGTGTGTGTGTGTGTGTGTGCGTCCCCCCCACCTCCCAAGACAGTATTGTTCATGGCCCCTAAAGAATAGAAAGGATGCTGCCCTACCTCTGTATTTCAGAGTTCATCAGAGCTATGCTCTATATAGCATTCCAGGGATCTTAAAGGAAATTCTCCTTGCATTCAAAAATCCCCCCAGTCTCTAGTTCCAATAAAGGCTGCGCGTGCCTATGAATGAGAAGAAGCTCAATTCTCAGTCCTAGTAACCAGTAAGGTACAGTTGCTTTGAGAATTGCTTCTTCCCTGAGTAGCTGTACCGGTCTCGGTGGGCAGGTGGGGTGACACATGCTAAATGGGAGCATTATTAGCGTCTTTGGATGTGGTGCTGAGATGCACCTTTTGCATGCAATCTCTCTTTCTTTCACCATTCACTGTTTTGCTTTGTGAGAAGTTGCATTCCGATCTCTGGGGTCATAATGGAATCATCATTGGAGGTTACCTAATCCAACCTCCTGTTTAGAGCTGGGAATCTGCATGTGGAGCACCTTACGTGGTTCTTGAGATGTGGTACTCCAGATAAATTCTGACTAGACAAGAGCAATTGCATCCTGTGAGATAGTACATTAAGGTTCTGCAAAGCTAGCTTAAGACAGTATTAGCCTTTTTAAATTTAATTTTATTTCTTTTTTAAAAGCCATGTCTCAAAGTTGACTCCTATTCAGCAGTGATGCAAGTTAAGCAGATATATGACCCGATTTGCTTACTTATTTTTGCTTCTAGGCTAAAGAATACATTAAGGTTCTGGAAAGCTAGCTTCAGACAGTATTAGCCTTTTAAAATTTAGTTTTATTTCTTTTTTAAAAGCCATGTCTCAAAGTTGACTCCTGTTCAGCAGTGATGCAAGTTAAGCAGATACTGTACATTTATATTGACCTGACTTGCTTACTTATTTTTGCTTCTAGGCAGGCCCAAAGAATAAAGACGGGTGATTTAGCATTCCGTCTTGACTAGTGGCAATACGACTAATATTTAAGCTGGGACACAATTTCGGGAGTGCACAGAAGGACATACAAGCAATGTCACTGCATTCTGTATGACCGTTTTTATATGGAATTACCCGTATTTTTCCCTCCATAAGACGCACCTTTGCATAAGACGCACCAATTTTTTAGGAGAAGAAAACAGGAAAATAGAATCTGTTTTCTTCGCTCCATAAGACGTACAGACTTTCCACCACCCTGTTTTCAATGTCACTGCATTCTGTATGACCGTTTTTATATGGATTTAAGTGTGTTTGGATATGTGAGCCACTTGCTAAAGGCATAAACTCCATTTTTGTAAAAAGACATAAAAGGAAAGCAATGCTATAATTAATAATGTCATACTTTTAAAAGGGCGGTGTGTTTTTGGTAACAATAGTGTTAAATATATCTGAAATTGGGCCTTTGATCTCTTCTTCCTGCTCCTCACCCACTGTGAAAGGGTTCTTCTGAATGTCAGGACTGAGATAGAAATGTTGCTGAGCATGTACAGAGTGCTTCCACCTCAGCTGATGGATAATGACCATCAGCTCCAGTCAAATCTTCAAAAACAGTAGCTTTAGGATCAGAAATCAAGATTCCTGAACAACCCTGAACACTCTGATCTCTCACTATAAAATGCTAAAGCTTAATTTTTGACAAGTACAATTTTAAATTGCCTTTTAAAGGTTTTATAGTAGACGTGTTTTAAACCCATTTCTAATCAAATTGTTTTGATTTGTAAAAGTGATTACATTTCCCCCCCTCCACTTATATATATATGGTAGAATATATATATATGGTAGAATCCAGACTGCATCACATTTACTGTAGCTCTGTTAAAATACATTAGACTACTGTACATTAATATAATTCAAGTTCTGTTTATTTAAATGAGCCTACTCAAAGTCAAAGTCTAGATCCAGCCTTTTGATGTCTTTCTGCCCTTGGGCAAGCACTTTCTTACTTAGCCATTTAAGCTGATTTACCAGCTTCAGAAGACTGTTATTTCTTGTTATGGGTGTGTTTTAAAATCACATTGTAACATGTTTTAATTGTGTTTGTTTTTGTCTGAATTTTATTGCTATTCGCCACTTTGAGTGTCATTGCTGAAAGGTGGGAAGGCAGAATTTAACTGATAAAAAGTTAAACTAATATTTTTCTTTCTTTCCTTCTTTCTCTTTCTTGCTTTCATCTCTTCCTTCCAGCAGAGAATAAATATTAATATAATTTTCAATGGCACCGGGTTATTCTCCTCCCCTCCTTTTCCCAAAAATCAGCCTGAGTCTTTTTCTTTCCCCACCTCCCATCCCGCCTCACCAGAGAGATATATTTGCTGTTTTCTATATTTGTCTGGTCTGGGAAGGAGGCCTTCTCTTTTGGTTTCATTGCATGAACACATAAAACACACACACACACTTCTTTTGCTCGTGTCAACATTTTCAGACCATAGGCAGAGAGAGACATGAAGGAAACCTGTCACATTTGCCTACAGCCTGAGTTGTTGTAGGCGGCTGGCCAATGACATCAAGTCTGCCAAAGTTTTGGAAATTAAAAAGAGAGGGAGATTTATGCTCTTTTCACAGCTTATATAGTTGGTCCCTGCCCCCTTTTTTCATCACTGCTCTACTTGCAATAATTGCTTTGCCAAATTAGTCAGAAAATCCAATTTATCCAGTATTCTCTACATAAGGATGGCCAACCAGATGCTTCTCAAAAGCTCAGAAGGAAAGCACAGAAGTGATATCCTTTGCCCCCCTCTTTTTTTTTGCTTAGAAAAGTTACTTTTCCAATCACAGATCCTCAAACAGGGACAGTAAGCATGCTGGCTGAGAGGCGATGAGACCTGTAGCTCTGCTACACCCGCCATTAATTCTCTAATCACCTCCTCTCAAAACCATTTAAAAATCCATTAGGCTTTGTACTCATTTGTACTAAAATCAAATTCAGACTTTTAAAAGTATACAAAAAGCAACTCCTTTCAGGTGCTTCTTTGGTATCCAGGGCAGATGCCCTACTGTTAGACAAGAAGAGGCAGTTGCTTCAGAATGGCAGTTTCCAGAGGACTAGCTCCTTGGGGAGTTTTAGGAAGCAAGCAGTGAAAGGAGGAGGGTGGGTCTTACATTCTGCCACATGTCTGGGCTGAAAATAGTTCCACTCATAGGTGTGCCTTGTGCGATTTAGTTAGCCTTTCATTTCTGTTTTTTTTTAAATATTTCAACAGGTTTAGCCTTCATTATGATTGTCATTCTTTTAAATTTGGTGTTTTTCTTGGCTGGAAAGGAAGAGGAGAATTAATATGTAAAGGGGAGGGAGGGAAGGAAGGAAGGAAGGAAGGAAGGAAGGAAGGAGGAAGGAAGGAAGGAAGGAAGGAACTTTGTTATTCAGGACAAAAAATATATTTCTTGCTTATGAGCAGAATCTGGAAGCATCTATTTATAAATATGTACTGATTTGTAATTAATCCCTTTTCCAGTGATGAAGATATATCTTTTATATAATGATTATTACTTATTGAGGGATTAGATTCCTCCTTCTTGGTAACTAGTGGGAACGTTGGCTGGAGGGTTCTGGAAACAGTAGTCTAAAAACCTAGTTTTTCAAGCATCTGCAACTTTGGAAGTGTAATGTACTTTTTTGATTAATTTTTAGACAGGCTCCTGGAATATGGCTGGGCAAGCTATGCTGAGGTTATAGTCCAAAAAGCCCTATTTTTCTCACTTCTTACCATTTACTTGTTAACTACTTAAACAAATCACCATTCTTAAAGAACCAGTATGGTGCAACAGCTAGAGTATCTGGCTGGGGGAGCTGGGTTCGAGTTCCTCCTCAGCCATGGACACTCACGGAGGGTAGGTGGTAATGGTAAACTGCTCCTTGAACATCTCACTTACCTTAAAAAACCATATTAGGATTGCCATAATTCAGAAGTGAATTGATGGCACATAACAACACCAAATTAGAAAGATATAAATGCTTCAGATAACTAACAGGCTATTCCTAATCCCCTGATCCCTTGAATTTTGGAGGCTGGTCTATCCAAATGGGACAATAAGTTCACATTGTGGCAGGTATCTATGTCTTAGAATACTACAAATCTGAGTGGAGTCACCAACATCAACAGGGGCCTGCCAGCTGTTTGACAGCCTTAGGCAGTTGTGGTATCCAGAGGAATGCCAAAGCATGAGACATGTTGAAGTTATAGAGCAGGAGCCATATTGACCTTCCATATGACTAACTGGCTGAATGAAATTGGGCAGAACAGAATTTATGCAGGTCTAATACTGTGGAAGTCCAGATGACTTTTTAAGGTGGGGCAGCCACGTTCTGGGGGGATCGAGGGAGAGTTTCCTCCTTCTATGACATGATGTGGGGACCCTCACTCCCCAATAGGATAGAAGTGGTCAGAAATCTATGCCTAGTTTTGTAAAACTGGAAACAAGATGTGAGGTGGGTGTTTTTTTTTAAATGGTGCTCAGAAACACCATTTTGAGGAGAGATGGTTTTTTCCCCCGTTTGGGAGAGGGTCCCACGGGGATCCAAGGACCTGAGGGATCAGTGTGCAGCCTGTGGCATGCAAGCTGCCCCCCCCAACATCCTAAGAGTCTGAAGGAAATGTCTTCTACGCATTAGCTTTGATTAGCCACTGCATGAGAAGCTATTAAACCTAGCGGCTCTAACGCATGCAGTCTTATGGTTTCCTCTTCTCTCGTTTTCTTACAGCGTGCTATGGAATTGTTCAGGTTCCCACTGGACCGTGGTTCTGTCGAAAATGTGAATCCCAAGAAAGAGCCGCCAGGGTGGTGAGTATACCTTGCGGAACCGTTTCAAAAGAAATGTCCTACTCGATCAGGCTAGCGTTACTATTCCAGCACAGCCTATTGTGCCCAAAAGGGGTTGTAAATAGAAGACCAACATCTGTTTTAAAAGCAGTCATTGAACTTTGAGTCTTCTGAAGCTTGTGTCTCTCACTCCTGGGGTTTCCCGTTTTGTAATTTTTTGGTCTCCTGCTCTTGTGCCTTTGACGGCAGCTCCTTGATCCACAGATAAGAAAATTGCTCTTAAAGGCACAGATGTAGGACACATTCATCTTTGTTTTCTTTTGACCAGGTCAGCTAGCACCATCATCCAGTGTTAAAAGGACACACCAGACAAGAATTTTGTTATCTCTCTTAATCTAGAACAAAAAAGCCACCGAAATCTCCTGGTTTCATCCAGACTTGTCCAATGCCACCTAGTGGCTGGTTACAATATTTATATTTGTCAGTCATCATCATTCATTTCATTGGGTTCTCATAATTTCATTTGGTGCTCCTTTCCATTAATGTAAAAGCCTTCCCTTACTTGGAAGTTTCCTGGTCTCTGATATACTAAAAAGCATTGTGCTACTACTCCCCTGCTAATGGTATCATTAAGAAAATCATGTTGCTGTTACAGTGGACCCTTGACTTACAGACGGCTTGACTTACAGACTTTTTGAGTTACAGACTTCTCTGGCCGCAAAATTTGGGTTTGACTTGCAGACTGAGATTTGACTTATAGACCAGAAAAAACCCAAAATGGAACAAAAACGACCTGTTACGGGATTAATCGGTTTTCAATGCACCGTAGGCCAATGGAGACTTGACTTACAGACTTTTTGACTTGAGAACCACCTTCCAATACGGATTAAGTTCTCAAGTCAAGACCCCACTTTGTATATGAGGTGAAGGTCACAAAATCCATAGTTGCAGGACTGGCTGCAGGATGATTGGGGTGGGGAAGCTTGGGCCTGGCAGTCTTAAGTACCTCCCACCTCACCGCAGAGATGCAACACATGCAACTAGAAATTGACAAAATAGTGATCCCAGCTTCACTTTGCACACAATATCCAAAAAGAATCAGAAACTGTTTAGGGCGGCAGTTCCCCAGACCGTCTTGAGTCCTTGGCAAAAGGCCATTCTCCCCAGTCACAAGGGGCTAATCCTGCCCAAGAGCAACAAAAATAAGGCTGGCTACTTACACATTGCTCAAATGAGGCGTGGGAAAGGCTGGACGAAAGAGGAGAGGACTTTGCATGAACCATGTATATGCTGATTTATGTGGGAGAAATGCAGATCTGGAAATAAGTACTATAACTGGAATAAAAATACAGTACATCCCACCATAGTGGGGAACATTTCAACCAGGTGATCTATGTGCCTGCACTACCTACTGCCTAGATGTTACTTGTGAAGGATATCTTCAACGCTCTTCCATTTTACTCCCTTCTTAAAATTCATTTTCTTTGTACCAGATTGGAACTAGAGGATCTTTCAAATAGGGCCCATCTTCACACATTCTTTATTTGCTTGTTTGGGGTTGGGATTTTGAGTCCCTCTTCAGAGAGGGTCTGGACAAGGTCACTCAGAGCGTGCATCGCTGATGGGGCTACATGCTTTGCCACCTGCGTGGTCTTCAGCAAGCTAAATACTCTCAAGAGTACCACCAGGAGAATGAACTGCTAACTCCCTTCTGGATGCTTTATACCTGGAAAACCACAAGGGATACCATAAATTGGAATCTACTTGACGGTATACATTTTGTTTTGTTGGTTCTGTTTTTGTCTTGCCTTTCCTCCAGTCACCACAAGATGGCAGAAATGGTTCTCCTCACCATTTTTGTCTTCACAACAACCTTGTGAGGCGGGTCAGATCGAAAGAAGATGACCGGCCCACAACCATGACTCATAACTAGTAAGTCATGGTTCAGTGGGGACAAGGCCAACCCGGAGAACAGGATGAAAAATGGGCAGTGGCAATGGAATCCAGCTGAGATGCTCAGGATTGTAGGGGTTTATTTATTGGATTTATACCGCACACCATCTGGCAACCAGGCCACTTAGGATTGATGTTGGAGTGGAATATGGGAGCAGAATACCTGAAGGCCTGCCTCTGGGAAGGTAGAAAGAAATGATGGTGTTGTACTGAATCAGGTTGCACAGAAAAGGCAGATGTACGAAGTGGGGATTCCAGTGCGCCACTCTGAATCAGCTCTTCTCCCTTGGTTGATGGGGAAAATGGGTGTATGTAGCCATGCATGCGTTTATTATTTTAAGGTAAGTAGTTGGACACACTATGTGCATCAATGATGTTGAACTGCCACTGTGTGTCTCCCTTACCCACACACACACAAATGCCTGTGGATGCTCTTGAGGGATCTGATGCTGCACCTTACTGTGGCACAGTGAGCAAAAATCCCTACTTGTTTGTAAGAATGAAAATAAACAGGCTCATTTGTTTCATGGGGGTGGGGTGGGGTGGAAGGAGGGAGTTGCTTATTCTTTCTCAGTAAAGGGAAAAGGTGCCACAGAGCCTTCTCTTGGCTACTCTTAGAATAACCAGTTGTATGTGGATACATAACACAAATCCTGCAACTCAGATGGATTTGTGGGAATAAAGATTATCCCTGTCTGGTATGTCAGCTGACAAAGGGGCCATGATCAATGTCCCCCCCCAAGGCACTGCTGAAAATATTTTATGAAAGAAATTAAATGAGAACTTGCCCTGTACATTTGACCCATTTCAGAGAGTGGAGAGGAAGCGAGTGAGCAACACCTGAGAAGCTGGTGCCAAAAGGATCCTTCAAGATTCTGTTTCCTCACCTGGAGAGACCCACTTGCTTCTTCCATTACTCTGTTTCCAGAATTCGGAATGGTGACTCTTTTGGACCACTACACCTGGAGTCTCTTAGCCAGCCTCTTGGCTAAAGATTTCTAGGAGTCATGACCCCAAAAAGTAACTTGTCCAAATTCCAGCCAATTTCCAACTTTCCCAGCCTGCTGCCCTTCAGTTTTAGGTTGCGCTACTGAATGGGCTGTCCCCATTGTGGATGATGGGAATTACAGACCACCGTACCCAAATGGAAGCAGGTTGGGAAAGGTTGAGCTAACTGTTCTTTCCCAGCTTTTCCGTCTGTAGAGAAGGGAAATGTTTGTTTCAACTAAAACTCCCAGAATCCATGGCTTTTTTAGATTATGAGGTGGAATCCTGAACCCTTTATATTCCAAAAATGAGAATTTTGGTACACTTACCAGAGGGAGAATGGACAGTGTCATCGAAGCTACCAACATGAATCTGACGCAACTCCAGGAGGCAGTGGAGACAGGAGGGCCTGGCGTGCTTTGGTCCATGGGGTCACAAAGAGTCGGATACGACTTAACGATTAAACAACGACAACAAATATCCGGCACAAAACAGGACTTGGCTTCGGGCAAGAGCCCTGAGCTTGGAAAATTACTTTTAAAGCTCATTGGTTACAGTTTTAGTTCGAGCACCTTCAGTTGGTTGTTGTAGGTGAGGGGTGGGTAAAGTGAGGGGTGGGTAAAGTGTGTCCCCTGAAGCCCCCACCTCCCACCAAAACAAAACAAAATCCCTAAACCCCCTCCCCAAAAAAGGCGAAGGACTGCTTGCAGCCCCCTCCCCAAGACTTGACACCAAAAACAGCAGTTTTGTGAAACCAGATGTGGGTGTCTGGTTTTGCAAAACTGCTGCTTCTCTTTCTCCCCCCCTTCCCGTTTTTGAAATGATGGTGATGTTTGCAGCCTGCAGAGAATCCTGAAGGCAGAAAAGTGGCCCCCAGACCTTTTAAAAGTTGGCCACTCTGTTGCAGTTAAAAAAAAAACTTTCCTAGTTGCCGGAACCAGCGGCTGCTTTCTCCGGAATCTCTCTCAAGATACACGTTGATCAGGGTTTGTTGTTGTTTAGTCGTCGTGTCCGACTCTTTGTGACCCCATGGACCAGAGCACACCAGGCCCTCCTGTCTTCCACTGCCTCCCGGAGTCGGGTCAAATTGATCAGGGTAGCAGGGCACAAACAAAATAAGTGCTCATTTCTTCCAGGGCTCTGGCTTAGGCCCTGGAAATAGGCTCTGGGGGCGAAACAGAAGTTAGAATCAAGCCTGAAGTACAGTTTCATGCTGGGGCTCACCCTCGGAGCATTGTTTTCTTCCCTGGAGTTGAAACATGCAATATAATATAAGTTAATTATATGGATGCCTCTGAACATAGGCAGAGTGCTGCTCATCTGGCATCACCACCGTTGGACCTCAAATGTCAGCTGAACTGCATCCAGATGTCCCAGACGCTCCTTGTTTCAGGAATTACACGCCACTCCTTCTCATTCTTCCTTGCCTTCCCCAAAGGCCCTCGGGGGATGCTCGGCTCCATTAGATGAAGGAAATGCTAAAGCTCGGGTTTGCTTTGTAAAGGAATTGTCTGGCTAACCCTTTGAGATTTGGTGGGGCTGGCTGGCTGGAGGGCAACTCGTGGGAAAGGGGGAAAGGAGGGGGGGAAATCATGTGCAGGCTTTAACAGTCATGTTCGAGCAAGGGTATTAAAGTCTTCCAAGGGGTGGGTGGGCTGGCGGGCGGAGCTGTTTAACCCTTCCCAGTTAATGATCAGAGCTTTGCTAATCGGGTGGCAGGAGTGGCGCTTTGATCCAAAGAGATGGAGGGGCCTTTTCAAGTGCAAATTTCCTGTTGCAAGGCCACCTGCTGCACAGCCCCCAACCCGGGCTCCTCTTCTTCTGTGCACCCAAGTGTCAAGCCCATCTCTTGCAGGAAGAGGCTGCCGTCCGTCTCAGGAGGCAGCCCACCAAAGCTGTCCCCTAAACTTCTGTTTCTCCTTCTCCTGTCTTGCCAACGGATTTTTGCCACTGTCTTTGCGCCTTTTTGCCTGCTCCTTGCTGTGGCAGGTCGGAGCCCTATCTATCCAGCATGGGTTGGAGGGGAACATGATTGATGGCTGTCATAACAGTGAGAGTGCTGGACGGAGGCTAAGGAGTCCAAGGTTCAAGTTCCCCCTTGATCGTGAAATTTACTTGGTTGTCTTGGTCTATCTTAAAGTGCTGCTAGAAGGATAAAGGAGGAGAACCCTGTAGCCATCTTGAACTCCCTGCAGTCAAGCAGTGGAATTTCCTGGCTCAAATTGTAATGGATCTCGTTTAGCCAGTGCTGGTCCATTTTAATGAAAAGGAGCCCATTTAAACATGAGGAGCAAATAGCGTATTTCCACTTAGGGGGAGAGAATTACAGTTTCAAGCAGCAATTACCAGGATTGCCATAGATGTAGGGAAGAGGATTCAGTGAGAAACTGCAGTGAAGGCCTCATAGAACAGTGGTTAAATTGCAGTACTGCAGCCAAGACTCTGCTCATGACCTGAATTCACTCCCAATGGGCTCAGGTAGCCAGCTTATGGTTGACTCAGCCTTACACCCTTCCAAAGTTGGTAAATTGATTACCCAGCTTGCCAGGGCGGGGGCGGGAGCAATGCATAGCCTGCAGTGTAATGGTATATAAGCAGCACACTTTGCTTTGCTTTGAAAATTTTCTCCATAAGCATCCTGAGTAGAGATAGGCACAAACTACAGTTTAGCAGTTTGGCCCGTTTTGCTGCAGCACCCACGCAGGTGTTCTGTGGGTACCACATGCTTCCCTCCCTCATCTCCTCCAGGCAGTGGCCTGCTCACCAGCAGCTGCATGCTTCCCTCCTCTGCCTCCTCCAGCAGCCGTCCACCGAGATAAGGAGGCAGGGCATGGAAGTCCCCAGCACTGCTCTGAGTGGGCAGTCGTCCAAGGGAGTGGAAGAGGGAAGCATGCTGCTGGTGGTGAGTGGGTGATTGCCTGGAGGAGGTGAAGATGCATGGCACCCAGAAGACACTTGTGTGGGCACCACAACAAACTGGTCTGAACCATGGAATTGTGGTTCATGCCCATCTCTAATCCTGAGTAGTGTTTCCCTCACCACAACATATAACACATCCTGTTTCTAGTCCATCCAGTGTAGTGATGCTGGATTGGAACCTAGGAGATGAAAGTTCATGTCATTGAGTGACCTTGAGCCAATGGTCTCAGCCTAACCTTCTTCATAGAGCATCTGTGAGGATAACAGCAGGGAGAAAAACTGCACAGAGCTGACCTTTAACACACCAAAGGAGAGATGGGGTAGAAATGTAACAAACAATCTTACTCTGGTGTGACTTCCTCTATGTGTATTTCTACATTACTATACGTTTTTGAAACAAAATCCACAGCAAAATTTGCACATTAAAAACTTACCTCTCGACATATAATATCTCAAAATATTCATGACTGGAGATATTTGGTCTCAAAATACACATGTTTATACATGACTTTTGGTGCCTCTCTTTTTGAACTGCAAATTGTGATGGAACATCTGAAAGTGCCTGAGGCCTTTAATCTGACCTAACTGATCCCAATCTCCTGGATCAATGCACAAACCGGATGCCGAAGTGCGTGCGTACTCTATTCAGGTTACATGTCCTTCTGCATCTGATCTGTGTATTGATCCAGGAGAGAGGGATCAATCAGGTCAGATTAAATGCCGCAGGCACCTTTAGTTGCACATGACAGTGTTGTGTAGAATAGGACACCTTTTTGAGGATGACCTTTTGGGGCCCTCCAGATCTTTTTGAACAGCTCCTACAATTTGTCACAATTGTTTACCATGAGGGCTTTAAACCTATGAGCTTTGTGACCCAAAACATCATTTGGCCCACCCCTGAACAACTGGTAATCTTATGTGCCAAATTTATCTCCTGAAAGTCTTGTTCTACCCTATTTCCCAGGTCTTCCAGTTGCCAGAAGTAGTAAAAGTTACATTTTTTTTGGAAGTACAATGGAAGCAGTGCTGGGAACTGGATTCTCAGGTTTATAATTCAAAAAGTACCTTTCTGAGTTCTACCAGTTGCCAAGCAAAAGGGATGGTGGGGAAGCGAGTGGCACCCTCAACCTGCCCAAATAAAGGTGAATCGTCTTCAAAGTTATCTAAATTATTTGGGCACATGGGGCAGAAAATCCCACCGGCCTATCTTTGCCAGTAAAAAATTCAACAATAACACATGAATCATTAACCTTAAGCCTCCCCTTCATGATAGCCAAAATCTCATATCTCAAGTGGTTACCTTTGCTCCCCCTAATACAGTGGTGCCTCGCTTTACGATTGCCCCGCATTACGATGAATCTGCTTAACGACGATCTTTTTGCGATTGCAGATGTGATTGCAAAACGATGGTCTAAATGGGGGAATTTCGCTTTGTGATGATCGGTTCCCTGCTTTGGGAACTGATTCTTCGCAAAATGACATTTTTCTAACAGCTGATCGGCGGTTTCAAAATGGCCACCGGGTAATAAAAATGGCTCCCCGCTGGGTTTAGGAATGGATTCCTTGCTATACAGGCACCAAAAATGGCCGCCGTATGGAGGATCTTCGCTGGACGGTGAGTTTTTACCCCATTGGAACGCATTGAATGGGTTTCAATGCATTTCAATTGGGTTTTTTCCCCGCTTTACGATGTTTTCGCTTAACAGCGATTTTCCTGGAACGGATTATCGTCGTTAAGCGAGGCACCACTGTATTGGGGCTTATCCAGACTTTGAGAGAGCAGACAGCAGATTGTGACAGTTTTGAGTGGATGTGCTCTTTGGTAGGACAAAGGTGAGAGAACTGGGCTCTGAGCCTTGATGAAAACTCAAACTTGGAGCATCCTCAAACTGGAAAGGAATGGGAGGCCATGTAGTCCTTCTGCTCCAAAATGATGCTGCCCCTCCTATAGATCAGCCTCTGAAACCTAGGCCACAGTGTGTCCCAGAACAAGACAACTGATGGGTCCATTCCTGCCTATCCACTGTCAAATGGTTGTCTCTGCTTGAGAGTGAATTTTGGCTCTCTCTCTCGGTCTTCTTTCAATTAAAAATATATATTCTGACCCGTTTTATTCTGTAGCTGTTCCATTGACTATAGCCTTTATGCAAATCCAAGAGAATCTTGGAGCTGTTGAAGACATTTTAGGGGGAAATCAGTCCAAAGGTAGGGAGGAGTAATAGGCAGTAGTTGAAGTATGTGGATTTTAAAACATCTCTTCTTCCCTTCCCGCCCCGCAGTTTTACAGCCATCTGGTTGTGTGTATTTTCCCACCACACCTGTATTTTTCGGCATACTGCTGTGCCTTGCAGCTGATGCAGAGCGTACATACATTGTAGATGGAAGACCGTTAAGTGCCTCCAGTTTCAATCCTGCCCTAACCCTGAATTTACTATGGATCCCTAGGCCAGCTACTGTGGCTGTCATCCTCACTCTATCCATTTGTAATATGAGGGCCAGTAATAGTGGCTTACCTTATAACCCAGATGTAAGGTTTAAAGCTGGCTAATTGATGATGAAGCACTTTGAACACTTGAGAGCCCTAGGAAGATACTCAGTTTTTATTGCTGTTGTTTAGAAGCCCTAATCCTGGGGCTTTTTCTTGGATTTTCAGAGGTGTGAGCTGTGTCCCCATAAAGATGGAGCACTGAAGCGGACTGATAATGGAGGTAAGGTTCCTTTTGTGGGGTAACAGAGGCAGCTGGTAATTTATATAGCAGGCCAATAAGGGAACATATTAACAGTAGTTTTTAGGGCAGTTCCTTGGCCTGACGGTTGTCAATAACTGTCTATTTCTAATGTTTTCCTAGAGCTTGGAAGAGTTACTTTCCTGTACTCTAGCAATAGGGGCTGCAGTCCAGAAAGTACATTTTCCAAATTCAGCATTTTCTGCATGCTGAACAAAGGCTGGAAAATGAGAAGGACAAGCAGCATATGAGGAGGTGAAACTGTTGACTCCAGTGCACCAGGAGAAAATAAATAAAGGTCCACACAATAAAATTGGATGTCAAAAAGAGTGTTTTGAACCCATATCTCACCCTGAAAGGCTAATTTTAACATTAAGGGTTTCTTAAACAAAAGAAACCCTTAATGTTAAAATTAGCCTTTCAGGGTGACATATGGGTTCAAAACACTCTTGATTCTGCCTTGAAATGTATTCCACCCAGTGAAACCCCACTTTTAGATTGAAACGGTAAAGTCTCTGAAACATAGTTCTTGTACTTAATTCTTGGCTATCGGTTATGCTACTGGGCTATATTCAGGTGAAGTTTAGGAAATGGTGTGCAGCCTCAATCACAGACGCTCCCATTGATAGGGAAATGACTGAACCCTAATATTTGTCAATGATATCCTTTTTTCAATGTACCTTGTACACTGGAAATGGAAGTTGGGAAAGATACTAGAGCCACCGGCTGTACACAGCATCTCTCTGACCTACCATTTTGTTCTTCACTTAGGCTGGGCCCATGTCGTCTGTGCTCTGTATATCCCTGAGGTGCAATTTGCTAACGTTCTCACCATGGAACCAATTGTCCTCCAATATGTGCCCCATGACCGGTTCAACAAGGTAAAAGCACCCCTTCTCTCAATCTTTTATCTCCTGTACACTCAGTGTCCTCTTCTCCAAGCAACTGGCTTCTCTTGAGTTTGCATTCTTCTATGCTATTATTTGTTGTTGTTATGGGCCACCAAGTCGCTTTCAACGTATGACAAACCAGGAATGAGCTACCTCCAAAATGTCTTGTCTTCAACACCCTTGCTCAGCAATTGCAAACTCAAGCCTGTGGCTTCCTTTAGGGAGTTAATCGATCTCATATTTGGTCTCCCTCTTTTCCTGATGCCTTCAACTTTTCCCAGTATTATTGTCTTTTCTAGACAATCCTGCCTTCTCATGATGTGCCCAAAGTAGGATAGCCTCAGTCTCAGCATTTTTGTCTTCAGAGATAGTTCAGGCATTATTTGATCTAGGACCTATTTGTTTGTCCTTCTGACAGTCTAGGGCACTGGTTCTTAACCTTGGGTTACTCAGGAGTTTTGGACTGCAACTCCCAGAAGCCTTCACCACCAGCTGTCCTGACTGGGGTTTCTGGGAGTTGCAGTTCAAAAGCATCCGAGTAACAAAGGTTAAGAACCACTGGTCTAGGGTATCCACAAAGTTCTCTACTAACACCATATTTCAATTATTTTCCTGTCCGTTTGCTTAATTGTGCTATTACCGGATAGGATTTATTTATCTATGGACAAGTTGGTTTCCCTCTCTGCTTCCAGTTGTAGATCCTTTTGGACTTATGCAAAGGGACTCTGACTGGATATAAAGCTTACAATTCATGTTAAACAGTTTTATTTATTTATGACAGACTTGTTATATCTGTGAAGAGCAAGGCAGAGAGAGCAAAGCCGCCTCGGGAGCCTGCATGACCTGCAACCGTCACGGCTGTCGGCAAGCCTTCCATGTCACCTGGTGAGTCTATATTTAGGTTGGTTTCGCCATCCCTTCCTACATTCATCACCTAAGCCTCTGTCTTGAAACGTACTGGTCTGTCACTTTATCGTAGATGTATTAAGCATCATAGTAAAAAAGAAAAAGTGCCAAAGAGTATGAATGAACAACTATGGGCAGCTTAACAGATTCTTTAGCGACTTTCCTACAAGAACATGGAACTTTCACAATTGCCTCTCTGTTTTCCTTCCTCTGTCTCCTTTGAACGCCCTTCTCCAGAGCATTTTTAGACTGTAAACTACCCAGCACAATCAGTACCTCATAGAAATGTGTTTGGGAGGTGCCATTTAGTCAAAAACTGCCACAGGAACATTTCCACCCCTCCCCCCCAAGCCTAGGTCGAAGTGCCCCTAAGAGCAGCTTGAAAAAGCCACATCTCTTGGTCCAGAAATATCATTAAGAGCTTTCTTGCTCTGATCCCTCACTCCCTGTCTCTCTTCCTCCTTCCCAAACGTGAATGGCCCCTTTTCCTACATACTGGTTCCTTTCCTGCTTGAAGCCAAACTGCTCATTAAGTTGGAGATGTGTGAATATCGTTCTGTTTCTTTTTTATGTTTTGCCTTTTTGAAGGGTGTTGTTGTTCCACACTGGGGCTGATGCAGGGGGCTTTCCTCCCAACATCTCTGCCCTACCTCATTTTTCTGGTCAAAACTACAATTTTCCATTGTTATCCTGAATCTGCCGATAACAGAAAACATAACAGGTACACGGCCATAATCCCAATTTCTTTCCTACTAATTAAAAAAACAGTTTGTCTTTGTTACTGGAGCTGCAGTGAAAACTTGAGAGAAGGGGGCAACTTTAAAATATGTGGGGGAGGCTGCAGTGTTGAGGTGAGAATTAGTGAGTTCTGTGACAGTTTGAAAAGTTACTCTCTTTTTTTAGCTTTGAAATACCCCAATCCCCATCCAGCACAGCATTGAACATATTGTTGGCAGTGGGGAGTTGGATTGTGGTCCCCAAAGTAACTTTTCAAATCTCTAATCAGTGATTTAGGTATCTGGCTGCAGAACCAGAGGTTGGGACTTTAATGCCCCACTGTGCCCCCTGTGAATAAAGCCAGCCTGTGTGGCCTTGGGCACGCTTCACGGGGCACTCCTGGAAGAAGGGAATGGTAACCTGCTTCTCCGTAATCTCTACTTGGAAAACCCTGGAAAGGGTTGCCATAAGTCAGAATTGACTTGACAGCAGATTATTTTAATCAATTGCTATTAGTTGTGGAGGTAACTAGATGGGAACCTCTGGATAGGGGGCTGTGCATCTCTACATACTAGCTAGACAGAGCTCAGTGTGCTTTAATAGCAGAAAATTACAAGTTTAGTCCTGGCTTCTCCGTGTAGGAGTGGAAAAATTCTTGCCGGAAACCTTGGAGAACCAGTTACCTAGCAGCATGTCCAGTGCTGGTCTAGATGGACCTGATGGTCTATCTCAATTTAATGCAGTTTCCAGTGTTTATCTTTCATCCCTGTCTTATCAGCGTGAAAGATTTAGATAACCATTTCCAATACGACTGTGCTGGCTGGGGGATTTTGGAGTTGTAGTCCACAAAGGTAACTTTTCCGAGCTCTGGAAGAAGGCCACTGAGCACTCTTATGCTTGTCACTCCTCCTCTACACCCCAGTTACTTTCCCTTTTTTCCCCCCTAGACTGAGGAAAAAGAGCACACAAATTGGAAACCCTGTTGAGAACAGCAACTTAGAAAGGGGTGTTCAAGAAAGATTCAGAAGGCAAAGGAAGGATTATGCGTAGGCGGCCACTATGCCACCACAAACCATAAATTCTCTTTTTTAAGAGATGTTTCATAGAAACCCAGATAACTTGCCCAACATCTCATTCTTGGTTAGTGGAGAAGGTGGAGCAGCAAGGGTTTGACTCTGTTCTGGCTGAAAGGAGGGCCCAAGTGGATTCTTCCCAGAGAAGAAGCTTCTTCTAGTCTTTTGACCCAGCCCTCTGCAGAAGAGCAGGAGGGGCCCTTCTGGGGCATCAGGTTGATCAAAAATACCCTCCTGGCCAGGAGTAGGCAAGGTCTAGACCCAAGGGCTCAAGCAGAGAGCTACCCTTCACCGAGCCATGGCTGAATTTGTGGTGGTGGCTGCAAACCATCTACTCTTTTTTCATGTAGGCAAGGTGGCCCTTAATTTCTTTTTCTTCCTTCTGTCATATCCTCAGACAAAGACACGAGAGAGACACTCTTTTTTTAAAATCGTGCTTTCAGAGCACTCACTCCCAGGCTTGTATCCCACATGCCAAGGCTTGTATCCCACATGCCAGTTCCCATTTACTAACTGAAGAAAGGGTAGAAATAAATTTTAATCTCGGACTGCATAGACATTTCAGGATTGATGAGTCTGCTTTCAGCTTGCCCACCATCAGAACAGTCCATTTCTCTTGTTTATGTGTGTGTGTTGTTCACACTTGAAAAGCTGGCAACACAGCAGGAGTGAGGAATAGACGTGTGTGCGCGTGCGTGCGTGTGTACCAGGGAGGAAGAAGTATGTCTTTGTCTACCTCCCCTTAGCCACAGACTGTGCTGCTCAGCGGTCACAGAATCTCCCTTCTGTATTCCAGTGCTCAGATGGCTGGACTCTTGTGTGAAGAAGAAGTCTTAGAAGTTGACAATGTGAAATACTGTGGCTACTGCAAGTACCACTTCAATAAAATGGTGAGTTGCTGTTGTCAAAAGCAGACATCAGTTGTTCATGTTCTAACAGATATGTCTATAAATCTATATATGAGAAAGGTAAAGGTAAAGGTGTCCGACTCGAGGGGGCGGTGCTCATCCCGTTTCCAAGCCACAGAGCCAGTGTTTGTCCGAAGACAGTTTCTGTTGTCACGTGACCAGCGCGACTAGACACAGAACGCCGCTTGGTAAAGGTGCCCGACTAAGGGGGGCGATCCTCACCCCGTTTCCAAGCCACAGAGCCAGCGTTTGTCCAAAGACAGTTTCCATTGTCACGTGGCCAGCGCGACTAGACACAGAACGCCGCTTTACTTTCCCACCAAGGTGGTACCTATTTATCTACTCACATTTGCATGCTTTTGAACTGCTAGGTTGGCAGGAGCTGGGACAAAGCGATGGGAGCTCACTCCGTCGCGTGGATTCGATCTTATGACTGCTGGTCTTCTGACCTTGCAGCACAGAGGCTTCTGCGGTTTAACCCACATGACACATCAGTAATGAAATATGAACATGGCATTTAAAAGATCCCAAGTTTGAATCCTAACATCAGGAGAAATAATAGGGCAGCTCAAAAAGCTGGCTGGATAGCACAATGGTTTCGGTATCTGGCTATGGAGTGAGAGGTTGGGAGTTCGATTCCCCACTGTGCCTGCAGGGAGAAGAGCCAGCCTGTGTGGCCTTGGGCAAGCTGTACAGTCCCAGGATGCCCCCAGAAGAATGGAATGGAAAACACTTCTGATTACTTTCTGCCTAGAAAACCCTGAAAAGGGTCTCCATAAGCCAGAATTGACTTGATGACACCCAATTATTATTAGTATTAGAGGTTGGGAGTTCGATTCCCCACTGTGCCTGCAGGGAGAAGAGCCAGCCTGTGTGGCCTTGGGCAAGCTGTACAGTCCCAGGATGCCCCCAGAAGAATGGAATGGAAAACACTTCTGATTACTTTCTGCCTAGAAAACCCTGAAAAGGGTCTCCATAAGCCAGAATTGACTTGATGGCACCCAATTATTATTAGTATCAGGGCAGCTAGGAAAAATAACCTACATATTGATATAGACCTCCACAAGAGGAGGAAATCCTGAGGCCTTCTGGGTGTCAGTGAGATACTGCTCCCACTAATTTTTTCCCCTCAGCCTCACTTGTGGGATTGAAGCCAGGCCTGGGTGAAGGGAAGTGCCTGAAATGATGGTGGGAAGGTAGAGCTCATCAAAATGCCATTCTGCTTGAAAATGTACTAGTTGTGTCAAGCAGGTTAATGGTATATAAGGTCCTTCTAGACTGAGGGCTCCTGTAGCTCATAGTTAAAAGGCATCATGCATTTATACTGTTCCTTTTTTTTTCTTTTACTGATATTCTCTGGTTTAAAAAGAAATAAGGATGGAAGAAGCAAAGGCAAAACACCGGAGGGCTGCAGATTGAAAGCAATGTCTTCTAGGTCCCATTGCAAAAATGTCAGTTATTGAAGACAGTAGTAAAAGTGGGGCCTCAAAGCTCCCATAAAAAACAATGCTGAGGAGTGCTGTTGTTGGATATTGGATTGGGTTGTTGAGGAAAGGCACCCAGAAAGAGTAACTGCCGAATTTGTGCTGGTTTTCTGCATGTTCTCAAGGAGGTCAGGAGAGAGCAAGTTACAGACTAGAAGGCTAGAAAGAATTTGGAAGTCGTCATGAGTGGTTATCGTTGCTGTCACCTGGAGTGATTAATAATGCCTGCCCACTCCCCAAAGCCAACCCAAAAAACGCTCCACACCCTGCCTTCCGTTACTGAGGATCAGGTGCACCAGTTTGTTGACCACCTGAAATAAAGTTCGGCCAATCTCCATCGGAGCCTTGTTTCCTGATAGCTGGCAGGAAACAGCAACAGCAACATTAACCATTATCATTTGTCAAAAACGTTTATATAGCAGCAAGCAAATTTGTTCTTGCAGTCTCTTATCTTGCTTGTCTTTACGATGGCCTGGTGAGGTAGATATTAAGGAGAAACACGCCCAGGGCATAACTGGAGCCTGGGATCAGCTTCAGGGCAATAGCCAGAGAAATTAAAGGAGCAATAACGGAAGGAGAAATGGCCCTGAAGTTGTTCAGAGCAGAATTTGGAAAAGTTACTTTTTGTAGGGGGGCTACACAACAGGTTATTATGTTGGCTGAAGGCTTTGAGGAATACTATTTTTTTTTAAAAGGTCAGCGCTCTCGTCACGGAGAAATTTGTGGCTGGTCTTTTGACTGTAATAAAGTTTTATCTATCTAAAGTCAGCGCCCTCGTCACTGAGAAATTAACTTATAGGATTTTGGTATCAAGACCGGCTCAGGATAGTGCAGTGCATGAGCAGAAATTCTAAATGACAGGCACATCTCCCAAGAATGAACCTGGGGATCAGTGCACACCTTGTTTAAATGCATGGTAGCCAGGAAAGAGCACAGCTGCATTCCTGTTTCTCCTCGCCACAGTGGGTGTTGGGCAGCATCATTGCTGCTGAGTCATGTTCTGCATCCAGATCTGTCTGCCTTTCATTCTGTTACCCATAAATTTGTCACTTGAGGTGGTGATTGCTCCTACCTTTCAACAGTCTCACCTCTGATATCTGATGTTAGGCTGAAGAACTGAGGGTCAAATCGGACACAGTGCCTTTAGACTGTTGTTCGGTTAACGTGTCCAGTAGCTCCAGGCGCTTGTTTCTCTCCACAACGAGCACTGACATTTTAAAAACTTCCCATCCCGTCTTTCCTTCACAGCACAAATTACACTGCCACCCAAAGAATTACTGGCTCTGCCAGATAATAAAGACAGGTAGCAGCTTCTCTGTGTTAAGATACAGTGGTGCCCTGCTTGACGACGATAATGCGTTCCAGGAAAATCACTGTACAGGGAAAAAACAACCATTGAAATGCATTGAAAACCGGTCAGTGCATTCCAATGGGGGAAATACCTGCTTGTCCAGCGAAGATCCTCCATAGGGGAAGCCATTTTGCATCGCTATCTTCCGGAAATAGGTCCGGAAAACAGTGGGGAGCCATTTTGAAACCCCGACGATCAGCTGTTTTTAATTGTCATGAAGCGAAAAATCGGTTCCCGAAGCAGGGAGCTGATTGTCGTAAAACCAAAAAACCCCATTGGAATCATCGTTTTGCGATTGTTATAGCGATCACAAAAAAAATTAATCCAAGCGATTTCATTGTCTAACGGGGTAATCGTCAAGCAGAGCACCACTGTAATACTGTAAGGGAAGGGGCATTGGAAGGAAACATCCTCTCCAATAATTTTCAGACAGGTAGGCTCTTAGTATGTTGAAGCATGTCTCAAAACAACAATAACAAAGAGTCTTGCAGGACTTCAAACTAAACTATTTATTTCAGTGTAAGTTTTCATGGATTACGATTAGATATGGAACATTTGTATTAGTCTCCTGGGAGAGACAAATATGAATATCATCACCACAGGTGGCAGGGCCCGTTTGACCCTCCCCGCCTCCAGAAGTGGACCATCCTTTTATCCCTTGTAGCGTGGCATGCACTGCCATCCTCATTCACACCACGCCAATCACAGAAGTAGCCTGGCTAGGGCTTCCCCACCTCCTTCCACTGCTGACTACTATGGAGGTGGGATGACAAGTCTCCTTGTTCAGCTGCTGAGTAATCAGCTGCAGAGGGAGATGGGAAAGCCCCAGCTGGGCTACTTCTGCAAATGGTGTGGCATGAACGAGGATGGCCACATGCGTGGTGTTGCAAGCAGTAAGTGGATGGCCCAGTTTGGGGGGGGGGCAGAGTCAAATGGGCCCGTCCACCTGTGGTAGCAATATTTGCATTTATCTGCTCTGGGAGACGAATACAAATATCCCATCTCTAAGTACGTTCCATTCTTACAGCCACATGGAATATAATATTCTGGTTACAAATGTACATAGATTGGAGTACATAATTGTGGGCATGGGGACCAAGGGAAAAGTGATGCAGAGATGACAACTGTGTTGCAAATGCTGGGAATGAATTTTTGAAAGGCAAACAAACATCTAATACAGAGTAGGCACCAAAATGGAGGATTGCCTTGCAAGCCATTTCAGTGAGGCGTTTGGGCTGAGCAGAGGGGTGCAACCAGCACCCAGGCCTCTTCTCCAGGTAAACTGTGCTTGGATCTTTTCCTTCACCTATATACTGGGGCTGACTCATGGTGCTGAGAAATGAGTTCCAGTGGCCTTGACATGTCTAAGCTCCTGAGACTTAAGTCCTGCTGGCAAAGGTGAAGACAGCTGAGATTTGCTGGGGGCTCTTTCTTCTAAACCTTGAAGCAAAGATTTTGGAATTCTCACTGTTCATGTTTATTTTCTCTTTTTGCTTCTTTCCGGTCCTTCCAATATCCATCATCCTCCCCACCCTCCCACATGCCACCAAAAGACATCACGCCATTCTGGAGGTGGATCCTTCAACCCAGGAAGAAGGAGCCGGTCAGCATCCCCTGCTCAGGAGAAGCATGTGTCCCACCATGAGAAACCAAAGAAGGTAGAATATGTGATGCAAACATAGTAATTAAGAGGTGGTATGACGTGGGATAGGGGTGGAGAGTACAGACAGAGTGTGAAACAGTTGGTTTTCAAAGGCTACAGCTCCAGAATGGCCAATGTGACTGGTGGATTCTGAGAAATGTACACCAAAAAAATTACTTTTCCAAGTAGTAAGCATTCATTTCTATCATACTGTATATTTAATTCTTTAGACTTCCTTATACAAAAGCAGACGGGACCAAGTAGAAAGGCATAATTAGTGCCTATATATTCTGCAACTCTTTGTTCTCATGCACCAGCATTAGTCATGGGCACAGAACTCAGCATTTGTAGAACATCACATTTTCTGCTGGAGTGTTGTGATACATCCAAATTACAAAAAAAAGCAACAAAAATCCTTCTTTTAAAAATCCGTACTAGCAGCAACAGTGTTGATTGTCTGCTAATTCCTCTTTAAAGAGACAAGCAGTTCTTTGGAAGGGAAGAATCCCTTTGTATCTACATAACCCTTCCATTTTAATATAAGTGGAATTCTGTCCCATACAAAAAAGTTGGGGAAGGCCTGTTGCTGATCTCATCAAGGCTTCTTAAGTCTTCTGTGGTCAGATGTTGATGCTTACACAGTGAAATTGTTCAGGTGTTTCCCATCTGTGGCTGAAATTCTATTGCACTTGATATAACATAAAGTTACACCTGAAGACGTTCATGGGGATTTACGCCCAGGAGTCTGCATGTCTGATTTTGCAAGGGCATCACACAAATGACTGTACAACTGATCATGCACAATGTCTGTGGAACTGCTTCCTGGATAAAACATCTGCCTTGGTGCAAATTTCACAAAGGCTTGCACAACTTATGTTATGCAAGTATAAGTTATGCGGGCATAGCTATGCAACAGGATTTCATTCACACGATCTCAGTATGAATTATATTAATACTGTTGTTTTTATTTTAAATTGATTTTACTTTTATGTATTGTTGTTAACTGCCCAGAGTAGACCGGTCTAGATGGGCGAGGTATACATTGAATAAATGAATAAATTTCCAGGAGTAATTGGATAAAATATGCAAGTTTCTCAGTTTTATGGGGCTTTTGGTCAGCTGCACTGCTTTCACAAAATGCGGTGGTGAGAGGAGAGAGAAGGAAGGTGCTGAAAATGGCATAGTGGAATTACACAGTCACGAATATTGTCACCACCTTAACTGAAACATTAATGCAGTCAGATCACACCTGAAAGTATTTTGCGGTAATTGTAGTAGAAGTGTTTTTTTAAGCACTTGAAATAAATGAAGCAAGGTGGGAATGCAGGGCTTTGGAATGAATCAATGCCAGTATGAGAGAAAACTGCTCGTATGGAAACATCCTTTGCCAGAATTCTTCTCTTCCTGTTCCTTTTTCAAATCCAGCCCCCCCCTCCAAAAAAATATTTAGTTACAAGACGTCTTCAGGCAAAGTAAGAAATGTACATTAAGAAGTAAGTTTCCATTTAGTTCAGTGCACATTGTTTCAGAGTGAACCCACTCTGGATTACACTGCAGTTGTTGAGTGCAGAATGAGAACACATTAATCTAAAGTTATTTAGAAGTCTGGAATAGGGTTTCGTTCTCTTTTTTAGTACTTGGGCTTGTATATGGAATATTTACAGCTTCTTCCTCCCATTAACCTTTTGCTGAAGTGACCCTAATCCTAGACCCTCTTAATAGTTAGACTGAATTTTGTTATTCCTGGTATATAGCAACATATACCCTGTTTTCCCAAAAATAAGACCTAACCTGAAAATAAACGCTAGTATGATTTTTCAGGGTGCTCGTAATATAAGCCCTACCCCAAGAATAAGCCCCAGTTTAGTGAAACCCCACCCTCCATCATTGTGCAGCAACTAGAAGAAGATAACATTACTGTATTTGAATAAATGTAGATTGTTGTACATATAAAAAATAAAACATCCACTGAAAATAAGCCTGAATGTGTTTTTTGGAGCAAAAGTTAATATAAGACCCTGTCTTATTTTCGGGGAAACACAGTAGTAGAATCCAACTATAATATTCTCTAAATTATCCAGTACATATCTTGTTACACAGCAAGGAAAGGGTGCTCCAGCTAGAACATGACTTGGAATTTATTTTAGTGCCAAACCTGAAACAAGAGAAACAGCAATATTAGGGAGGAGCATCTGCAGAGTGCCCTAATAATAGTATCATCCACCTATCCAGCCTATATCTGGGATTGGAATGGAGAGTCTCCAGGTAAAATGATATGCTTTCTTGGCCTGATCTGACCCCACCCCATGTCCCTTGAGAAATCAGCCCTTCTCTGGAATAGTAGCTGAAGAACCAAATTCACTACCAGTAGAAACAGGGAGAGGGAATGGAATTATCTCAGTCCAAGACTATTGGTCCATTGTTAGGTGTCAATTTTATATGCCCTGGAATCTGAAGGTCCATGTACTTAGTGGTTTTGCAAAGCTGAGAAACTTGGTTTGTTTTTAGCCCTGTTTTCCTGGTCAGTTGCTACTCGTAACGGCTGCTGGCAGGCAGTATATGCAATTTCCTAGTATACATAGCAGGACTTTTAATACAGCCTAGAATAGCTTGGCTTTCGTGCAGTCCTGGAGGCAGCGGATGCCAAGGAAAGCGATGGAAACAGGAAAGGAGAAAGAGAGATGGGAGGGGAGATCAGCACAAGGTAAATGGCGGTAATGGAACAAAATATTTTTACGTTACATGGGCCAAAAAGGTGAAGGGGAGGGAGGAAACTCGAATGATTTGCTGATGATTTGGAGTGCAGCTGAAACCACTCTGGGTTTGGAAGAAAGATTTAGTATTTGCAGAGATGCTGAAGAGTGGGGAAGTAGATACAGTATAAGACTGTTTCTTCCACACTCTTGGTGTGCAACAAGAGTGTCCACCAGGTCCCTTTGCATCTCCCTGCCATGGAGGCAGCTAGCTGGCCAGAGCTGCCAGCCAGACACTAGAGGCCAGCCTTTAGATTTTTTCATTAAGGTGGGGGGAAATAAACATTTGTGGCTCTGCCGCCTGTTCCTGATTTGTTTGTTATCTGCTTCTCCTCACTCCAGTATAATGCACAACAGGCGGAGGAAGGGGAGATGGTGGTGGAGTGGAGTGACAGGGGAAATGCTTCTGCCACGTCTACTAATTCAGCAGGACATGGAAAGGACTGTGTATCACGTCCAGTTTACAAAGTGACAGCTAGGGAAGATCTTGCTTTAGGACGTCTGCAACTGAGAACTTACATATCGAATCAGTCTAATTTTGCTAAAAGTACGCTCATATTTGTGCACATTTTAAATTGTGTGAGTTGCTTCAGTGCATTTCTCCCACCTGAGGAAAGTATAATTAAGGATTTGTGCATATTCACAATGTGCACATTTTCACTGTGCCCTTTTCAAATGATTACATTTTTTGGTGAGATCTGTCTGTATTTGTCCCTCAACATGCAGATTCTAGAGCACAAATTGTGTTTGGTCTGTCGGTGGTCAGGGAAGTGCAAACTAGGAAAAATGTACCCCAAAAACTCAAATGAGCTTTTTCACACTGTGATGGTGTCTCTGGTCCTTCTGTCGTTGCTCTGGGTCATTGTGGTTGTTACTGTTGTTGTAGATTTGAGCAGATCTTCCTGGTGCTGGTGTCCACACATGGGGAGATTATTTGTTGCTGGATGCACTGTGGTGCACTCGATCTTCCTAGCACTGCCTCTCCACGCACATCTGGAATTGCTCCTTGACTTCTCATTCCCACCACAGCTGCTATCCCGTTTTGCCTTTTGTGCCTTTTCCCCACCTACTTCACTCTCTCTTCCTTTCCCTCCTGTTATCTGACAGCCATTCTGAAATATTTAGGTTCTCATCCCAGTGCTATTTTATTTAATTTAGTTTTCACTGTTGTGCTGTGGTGCAAAAGTAATGAGATTTTTAGAAAAGCAGAATGGAGGAACAGCTGGTGTCTTCTCTGTCCTGTTCCTGACTATTTCTGTCTCTCCACCCAACACTCTCAAACCTTCATACTTTTACTTAGTTTCAACCCCCCCCCAATGTTTGTGCTATGATGCAAAAGTTATAATATTTTAAAAAATAAGCAAGTTGAACTCAGGAACAGCTGACATTCCAGGAAAAGTAGACAGGAATGTAGTAGGAGGATGGAGACTGACCAGCAGAAAAACATCCGTATGGAAACGACCCACACCCACAAAATGCACAGGGAGCATTCATTAATACTGTACATGGCTGGGTTTGCACAAGCTAAGCAAAAATACACAAACACCCAGGTGTGATATAAGCCACACATACACAAATCCCCAAAACAAGGTTCTTTGTTCTGCTTTGATTCTGTTGTCACTAGTATCAATTTTGCACCGTGTAGACACAAGGGTGCAATACTTGTATCGTGGGTGCAAGGAACGTTGGAACCCACCTTTCTCCTAAAAAAGGATCCGAGCTGGCTTACATTATTGAAAACAAAATACGAAAAGTTAAAAATAGGAAGTTATTCAAATGTAATGATATAAATATAAAGAAGAAACTGGCATTATATTAAAAGTGTTAAGTAAAAGCATAACTTAAAAACAGATTTAGAAGCAAAAAATATAAACCATCCCATACACATATAGTTTCTCTTCTGTCTCTCTCCTTGGATTGAACCTTATCCAAATTAGCCTGCTGGCAGCCGAGAGAGTTTTACATTCGAACTGCAAAAGCCGCACCCTCCCCTCCACATTGCACCTTCTCAATAGGTTGAAAGACAACTTCCATCATCATCAGGTATCAGGAACTGTGGCTGAGCGCACCAAGTTGAGTAAGGCTAGTTTATGGCATGAAACTATACAAACATGTGTCACATGAAGGTGGTTTTGTTCCCAGAACTTGGTATTCTAATATCGGGAACAATCTGCTGACTGGTAGAAATATATTGAGAGGCTTGAATAACAGGATGTGGTTGGCCATGTTTCAGAATAACATAGCTCAGTGGTTCCCAACCCTA